TCCACTCCCACTCCCCCAACCATACCATCGGTGTGGTCACCTGTGAAGTCCTTTCTGCACACGAAGGCCAAGACAGTGATTCTCAATGCAGGGGATTGGGGTGGGGCGGGGGGGTTGCAATTTTGTCCCTCAGGGGACATTTGACATTTGGCAATATCTGGAGACATTTTTGGTTGTCACAACAGGAAGAGGGGATGTTACTGGCCTCCCATCGGTAGAGCCCAGAGATGCTCCTAAACACCCTAAGCACACAGGACAGCCTCCCCCACAGCACAGAACGATCTGGCCCAAAATACCACCAGCACTATGGTGGAGAAATCCTGGGCTAGGGCAGTACTTCTCAACCCTCAGTGTCCTCTAGACTCACTCGGGAAACTTTCAAAGTATCCCAATGCCCTGGGCCTTCCCCAGGCCAACTGAATCTGAAACTCTGAGAGTGGGGCCCAGCCCAGGCACTGGTACTTTTAAAAAGCTTTCCAGGTGATTCTAACGCGCAGCCAGAGTTGAGAACTCCTTCACCATCCTAAACCCCTAAATATCTGATTCCTAAAGGCATCCATTTTGTGTCTCTCATGGAGTCCTCTGCATTCCCACCAACCCCATGGACCGCCACCATGTTACTTCGTCTATTTGTCACTGTGGGGCTCCTGAGTGCTGTTGGACAAAGATAGGTTTGGGTTTTGCCTATCAAGTGACAGGAGATTAGAGGGGCTTCTCTGGTAAACCACGCCATAGACTGCTTCCTGCCCAGCAGGGGGAACATGGCTAACAGGAAAAAATGGCTAACAGGAAAGCTAGTGGAGGGAGATCATTAGCAACTATTAGTTCTTTGGTGGCTTTATTCATACTCCATGGGATTACTCAGTAGCAGGAAAGGCCGGCCTTATCTCAAGCCTGTTCAGCTTAATGAAGTGGAAAAGAACAACAGTTGTTGTCACATTTTTTTTAAGGTGGAAGAAACACACATTTTGAAGTTGCCCTTGTTAATTTGTTGAAATGTTATTGGAAAGATGTTTCAACGGAAGAAAAAAAATTTCATGGTTTTTGTGAGAAATCAAAACACTTTCCCTACATCATCCTTTAATCGTCAAGAGACACCAAAGGGAACTTTCTTACCCTTGTTTCACTTAAAGCTAACAGCTTGGGGGGAAAAATCAGAGGCCTTTGTTCTCTGCAAATTCTCTGGGCAGCCGACGGGGCCCGTTGGCTCAAGGCCTTCATCAGCCATCCCCTGGGACCTCTGGAAATACAGCCCTTCAGCGCACGTGGCTCTGGTTTTCAGTTGTTTTACGCTTTACTAGGGGTTTCGTTTGTTCAATGTTATATCAACTCTAAGCATCCCACTTAACGCTTGCGTACCTGGTGGGAGCTCACTAGGCTCTCAGCACGGTGTCTTGATGTCTTCTGCTGCATCTGTCCAGCCAGGAGCGGTCCCCCTTGGGGCAGCTGCAGGAAGCTGGAGAATGAAGGTGTTCATTAATGCAGCACTGTGTGTCAGCATGAAACCGTCCTTCACTCTTTCATCTTCAGCACTGGGACCCCACTCACCTCAGGCCACCATTTCTCCACCTCTCCATGACTGACATTTGGGACTGGACATTCTTTGGCATCCGTGTGTGGGCTGTCCCAGCAGCATCCCTGGTCTCCACCCACCAGATACCAGTAATGCCCCCAGTGATAACAGCCCAAAGTGTCTCCAAACATTGCCCCGGGGTGGGGGGTGCAAAATCACCCCCAGTTCGGAATCTCTGTTGCAGACTTAACCAGCTTCTAGTCAATAATCCCAACAGGGAACTGCTATGGGGTTTTGGGTGTGCCAGCTGGCGAGGGAGGAGGTGAGGGGTATATCTGATTGCTGCTCTGTGAGGAGTCGGGGGCAAGGGGACAAGAAGAGAGTCTAGACCAGGTAAGTCCATGCACTGGTCCAGGCAAGAGGGCGTGATTGCCTAGACAGGGATTTTAGCAGTGGGAATGAGGGGTGGCCAAAGGGAGCCACAGGCCCAAAATGGAGTCACTTGTGTGAAGCCCACATCACCAAACCGAGACATATCACTTGGCTTACTTACAGGTTCAGCCTGTCCCGGGAGTGGGATCTTAAGCCAGTCAATCTAGAATAACCTGGTCAGCACAGGTGAAGTAACTGGCCTGATGGACCCCTGCCAGCCACCAAAGGCAGGTGACTGCCTGAAACAATCCAGTGCTCCCCAGGAAGTTCCCTGTCCCGCCCCCTTCCACCTACAAACGTCTTTCATACCGTACAGCTCTTGGATCTCCATTCTATTTGCTAGAACGGATGCTGCGTATTCAGTGAGTCATGAATATCAGTGAATAAAGTCAGTAAGAGCTTTAAAATGTACTCAGCTGAATTTCCTTTTTTAACAGAGGGACAGATGGACTGGAGCCCTGTTCTGAGAGAGCCACCAGGGCCACGTCGATGGACTGGAAAGGGGTGCGTGTGGAAAAGATCACCCCAAATGGCTCTTAGGTTGCTGGCCCTTGGTGCCACAAACGGGGAAGCAGGCTAGGGGAGGAGAAGCTGGTAGAACCCAGGGAGAGCCCGGGAGGGGTGAGTCAAGAGGTCCTGCTTTGAGCACGTTAGTTCTGAAATCCCACTAGACAGTCCGGCAGAGATGGTGAGGAGGCAACTGGGTGTCAGAGTCTCAGAACTCGGGTGTAAGGAGTTGGGGAAACAGATTTGGTCAGAATAGAGATAGTGTGACGTGATGGGGAAGCAAGTGTAAATGGGGGGGGGACATCGAGGGCTTCTTACACTTGGCAGCCCCCATTTCAAGCTCTGTTTTCAACTCCTGCTGCCCCAACAGATTACAGGCAGCAGATTACAAGTGGGAAGAGGCTAGTGGGGTTTAGCGTAGCCGGATTTAGCCGGAAGCCCCGTTATGTTTGAATTTCAGACAAGCGAGAAGTAAACTTTTACCTAAGTGTGTTTGGGACATACGTGTTTCATCTGGCCCCCCTAAACGGAGGCCAATACACCAGAGAAAGATGGCAATGGGCAACGTTTGATGGCCGTAATGTGTGCCTTGAGGAGCAACTAGAACAATGCTTGGTACCTTCTTTATAAAAGGAGCGTCAGCATCACTGAGATGCTGAAAATACAGAAATGCAGAATCTCAGGCCCCATCCAGGTCACTGAACCAGAATCTACATTTTAAGAGGAGCCCTGGATGATTGGCATGCACATGAAAGTTTGAGAAATGGTATATTGCACTATCTGGAAAATGGCCCCGGAAAATCCCAACATGGAGCAATAACAAGGATGTGTAGGACTATGGGATGCATGAAAACATAGGAGACTTACAATAATTCCATCTTCCCTTGCATAATGTTGTAACTGTTGAAGTGTTCTTGCATATATCAGCTCAGTTACAACCAGGAAGGTTTTTGCTCTGTCATGTTACAGTTCTATAGGAACCTTCATACATGGAGGGGTCTGGGCTTCCCTAACCCTCTCGCTTAGCCCAGGGTGTGGGTCTCTCTCCCGTGTCCGGCACAGCCATGCTAGAATGCCCCAGGCAATGGGCTTCACGCCCTTGCTACTGTCCCTGGTTCTGCAAGTTTTCGCCACCAAATGCTACTCCAACAGCACCCCGGCCGGTTCATTAGCTATGTCCCTGCAGGACCGCGACAAAAACAGCCGCTACCGATCCCTGACTATTCTTCTCACTTTGAGGATGATAAAACGGAAGCACAAAGAAGAAGTTCAAGCGTTAATTCTCCCTTCGAGTGCAAACAGGGGAAACAAAACAGAGAGGCAAGTCACGAAGACCAGACCACAGTTCCCTCCACGCACCAGAGGGGAAAAGCTGGGCCAACACCTGGGTGGCTTATTGGGAAAACGAGCCGGGCTAATCTGGTCATTTCCTCGATCCAACTCGTAAGTGGCAAAACCCCATCCAAGCTGTGGTGCCTGCAAACGTCCTGTCATCCCTCTAGATCAGTGATCCCCACCCTGGGCTTCACATGGCAATCATCGGGGGAGATTTTAATCTCGTGGCCAGGCCACACCGCAGATCGATTACCAAAATCCTTGGAGGGTGACTCTAGGGTGGAGAAGCACTTCTTTATATTCCACGGTCAGTGGCATCCCCCAGCCTAAGGCCAAATATACGGCTTTCTCCCTCTATTCTGCACTCGGCGTAAATGAACCAGCCAGGCTGGAGGAGGGCGACTCTATGACTACTTTAAATTTACACCATGGGCGCCTGGGTGGCTCAGTTGGTTAAGCAACTGACTTCGGCTCAGGTCATGATCCTGGAGTCCCAGGATCGAGTCCCGCATCGGGCTCCCTGCTCGGCAGGGAGTCTGCTTCTCCCTCTGACCCTCCTCCCTCTCATGCTCTCTGTCTCTCATTCTCTCTCTCGCAAATAAATAAAAATCTTAAAAAAAAAATAAATTTACACCATGGCCTTGTGATTTTACATGAGATGAAGAGACCAGCTTTTCCCTAAACAGCCAAATCCCACGCCCCACCCCTTTTCACGAGACAAGACGGTCGCTCGAGTTTTCTCTTTCTAGAGGGATCTCCGACCAGAACTCACCATGCCAGCGCAGCTTTCAGAATCCCATGTGGGTGCTTCTATTTAAAAGTTGTCTGTCTACAAATGCTCGAGAGAACAGACAGTCTGGTTTCTCCTTCACTTTTAGTCAGTTTGTGCTGGAAATAAACATCCAGGTTTTGTGTGACAAGTGGAGACAGGACCCTGCAGAAAGGAGGCCCGGGACCAGACTGGCTGGGAACAGAGTTGCTCTCCGCCCACCTGCACTGGTACATCTGATGGGATGCTTAAGTACCAAAGGACAGGACTGCACGACCTGTTAGTATATAAGCATATACTCAGTCAACAGTGACCTGAGCAACCGTGGGGTCCCCTCCTTCCCTGGTCACCATGCTCGCCTCCCGCGATCCGGCCAGCATGGCCCAGCAAGGGTCCCCAGGATGGCTCAGCTCAAGGGCCATCCTGTTCGGATTGCTCGTACCTTGGGCTGCACGGTTGTGGGTAAAGGTCGCGCTTTGGAATCAAGTGACCTGGGTTTCCGCTGGCTCCACCAGTCACACACCTTGGTTGTGAGGGCTTAGCTTCCTCAGCTGCAAAACATGAAGTTTCAAGAAACGGTAAACTGCTTCGTACCGTGATCAATAAATAGTACTCTTATTGTCTTTAAGTGTTTTTGTCCAGTTACAAAGAATGGACTCTCACATCCCTGACTCTCTCGCTCTTTCCTGTCTGTTGGGCCTATGGAATTGTCCAGAAAATCCAGTATAGTTTAGTCACCTAGAGGGCTGGGAGGCTGAGGCTTCTTCTTTTGTGGGGGTTGCGGTTGTGGTTGTTAGAGATGTTTTACTTCTTATCACGCCTCACATTTTAGAAATCTATTTTTAAGCATGTTTCACATTTCCCCTGAAACCACCATCGTCACTTTCTTCCAGGACTCCTTGGTGCTCCTCAAAGCCTGGATGTGCCCCTTCCCCACTGTGCAATGCAGACTGCGCCTGGTATTCATGGTGCTGCTCCTTGCTTTTCTCTTTCCTCCCGCTTCCCCCTGTTGGGCAGATTAGATACACTCGGGTCTTTTTGTCTTATGGCTACAAATGGTGGACTTCCTGTTTCCACGCCGCAGGTAATTCTCTTTCATTTCTCAGCAGCCTTAAAATCTGTGTGTCACGGTCAGTTGCCATCCTCCTACCTCAGGGCCCCCTCTCTACCCATCAGGAGCTGGAGTTCAAGTTTCATTGTTTTGTCTTCATAGCTGTGTGTTGCCTCATTGGACGATACAAGAATAGGGCCACAGATCGAAGTGCAGAATGACCTTAGTGTATGGGTTAGTCATCTATTGCTGCCTAACAAATCACCCTAAAATGTAACAAGTTAAAATAACAATAGTTATGATTTTACACTTTCTGCAGGTCAAGAATCTGGGAGTGGCTCAGCTGGGTCTCTCGCAGGCTCTGGTCAAGGTGTTGGCCAGGAGCTAGAGTCATCTGAAGGCTCAAGTGCTTGTGGGCAGGATTCAGTCCCTTACGTACTGTGAGACTGAAGGCCTCAATTCCTTGCTGGCTTTTGGCCAGAGGTCTTTCTTTGTTCTTTGTCTCATAGGTCTCTCCATAGGCCAGTTTGCAACATGGCATCTGGCTCCATCAGAGAGAGCAAGCAAGAAGAGCCAGAGAAAAGGCAAAGCTGAAGTGATGATCTTTAGAACTTGATCTTGGAAGCCATATCCTATCACTTGCACCATATTCTATTTGCCAACAGCAAGTCACTAGGTCCGGCCATCATGCAAAGGGAGGGGACCACACAGGTGTGACTACTGATGTAGGAGAGACGTTAGGGTTCAAAGCCCATGGCCAAGAAAGAATTCTTGAGACATCTTTGGTGCAAAAAGGTGGTTTTATTAAAGCACGGGGACAGGACACGTGGGCAGAAAAGAGCTGCACTGGGGTCATGAGGAGTGGCCCATTATATACTTTCAAGTTGGGAGGGGGTTAGGGAGAGCACAAGCCTCCCAGGTATTTTGGAAACAAGATTTCCAGGATCCTGAGGGGGCTAGCTATTGTTGGGGAAAGGTCATTTATTACTGTTTAGGAAAAACTCAGTCATGAGACCCTTCAGATGTATATCAGTGGGTCATATGCTTGGGGGATGAATGTCAACATGCATCTTGGGGGGTAGAGATAAAGGAAGTTTCCAAAGGAATTTTTGTATGTTAAAGTAGACTTAGAGAATCCTGGGGGTTGAGCTAAGATTGCCTTTTTGCCCTTTGCAGAGTATTAACAGCAAGGCAGCTGAGTCCTCAGAGGAATGTCACTCTGCCTGTTTCAAGGACTTGTCAGTGGGCTGTAGGTAGTAAGGAAATTTAATGATTTTTCTTCTGCCTTTGTTTCCCACATCAATTACCAGGAAGTGGGGATCGTGGGGGCCATTTTGGAAGTTGCCAACCACAGTGTAATGGTGCAACGTGGCATGAAATTAAGAAATTCACGTGGATTTAAGCAGCAAAGTATATGGCAATCATTGCTCTTTGCAGTTTATTCCCAAACATCAATACCACACAGGAAATCAGAGAAATCTACACTAGAACTGTATATAAGTGGTAACAAGTCCACCAAAATGCTTCAGTGACCACTATTTTCTGGGATAAAAAAGTTCTACACAATGCCTTTATAAGACTCAACGGAAAAAAACTTAAGAGTACAAAAGGGCATTATTCAGTAAAATACGTCCCACATTGGGCAACAGCATTTTAAGGCTAGGATGGCTTTCATGGTATGAAAACACAAAGATAGTTTTCATTTCTTCTGGCTTTATGTATCCAACATTGCTTTAAGCACAAGTCAATTTCATTTGACCCATTAAATCAGTGAATACATACCCACTTCTACCATATATATTGTTGATATGGAGCAAGGCAATTTATGGTCCCAGACTCCCTCCACTGAAGACCAACATTTTCTAACACCTGCCTATGCAGTGGCTCTCTATGAAGGAGCCATTGCATCCACACTGCCTTACTAGGTGCGTCACTTCCCTTGATTCCTATTCTGGGTTGTAATAACTGGCCTGGTTTTCTTCCCCCAGACATTTTTCTACTAAAACTGAGGCCATTTAATGCCTCTTACTGGGTCAGCCTCATTTTAGAGCAGTAGTTCTCAACAGGAGTGATTTTGTCCCCAGGGGACATTTGGCAATATTTGGAGACATTTTTGATCGTCACACCTTGGCAGGGGATGGAGGTGCTGTAGGCATCTAGTGTGTCAAGGCTAGGGATACTGCTAAACATTCTACGATGTCACAGGACAGCCCTGGCATCAAAGAGCTATCCAGTCCCAAATCTCACTGGCGCCAAGGTTGAAACTCTGAGTTAGAGTTAGTGGTAATTTTTTTTCCTATTCAGGGGGAATTTAGTATCTTTTTTTTGGTAGGGAAGTTAATATAATCTCAGGTTAACCTGGGTTCTGACCTTGCTCTTACCTTGCCCTAATTCTAATGCTGGGGTTCCTGTGCTCACCTCTCTACCTTGGTATCCCGGGTATCCTGGTTCTGGGTAGTCCCTGCATGGTCAAACCCTGCCAGAGATACAACTCAGAACCTAAGCTCTGAGATCTCAAACCAGGATCCTGCCTCTGATTCACAGGCAGCATGAGGCCAGGCTGATGTCCTTTCTGCTCTTTCTGGCCAACCTCCTGCTCATGGCTGACTGGCTCCTGCACATCACCTAACCCTGTCTGGCACTCACTGCCAGTCCATCTGCCCGCCCACCTTTCTCAACCCCTTGTCCCCATGCTCCTACTATTTGCTTCAATTTCTGATGCTACCTGTCTGGGGTCTCCCAGATGTTCTATGGTCCCGCTCTCTGAACTTCCCCTCATATAGTTAGGCATGGTCTGGTCCAAATTTCTGTCCTTTCCCAGTCCAGAAGTCTAGTTTCTAATACCTTGCTGGCCTAGTCTAGTCCTTCCTATTGCCTGATGACCTCTTGTTCTGACCCATGAGATAGATCCAGCTATATGTTGAGTTATGCCAGAACAGGCACTAAAAATCGTAGAAAATAAATTCATTAAATGGATGATGACTGATTTTATGTAGGTAAAATGGCAACCAGGAGAGCCTTTTGACTGAATTTTTAAATTTTCCCAAGTTTTTTTTATTGGTTTTTAAAATTGTTTGTTGTTGTTCGTTTTTGGTTTATTTGTTTTTTGAATTATAGTGCAGGGGATCAGAATATGCCACCTCCAAATAAACTACTTTGGCATAAGATTTTGAGCTGAAGAAAATTGAGAAACAGCAGATGCCAAAAATAGCTCTCTGCCTTCTCCCCATTTGCCTCAGAGCAGAACATAAAATTCCATTTGTAAAGGTGTCTTTCTCTCATACCAGGAAGAGGAGGACAATTCTTAGACTCCTAAGCACCAGGGACAACCGTAGCCTCTTATTAGTCTGGAGATGAGAGGAATCTATCCATAACAAACTTCACTAGCTAACCATTATCTTCCATTAGTTTCCCCACATATATTCACTTTACTGTGGCTTGTCACCCCTAAAAGCCTAAGCCTGTTTTCCTTTTGTCTTGTCACCTCTCTGCAAATCTATTGCCCTTGTTAAGATGCCATAACAGCTTAAGTTCTAACCACCACTTTAAGTTATCACTGAATTTCTTCCACATATACACACTCTGCTCATGTTAATAAACTCAGTTTTTCCCTTGTTAACCTGTCTTTTGTCAGTGGGACCCAACTGCAGGGACTGAGAAGGTAGAGGGAAAGGTTTTTTTTTCTCCCTTACAATAGACACAATTGAAATGTTGGCCCTGGTATGTTTAGAAGGGCTTCTTAAGAGCCCATTGAAGCTTATAGTCAGGCAAAAGAAGAGAGGGTCCTCAAAAGCCAAGAAGGAAGAGTAGGAGAAATAATGACTAAATGCAATGTAGTGTCCTGGATGGGATCCTGGAACAGAAAGAGGACAGTATGGAAAAACTGGTGAAATTCAAATAAAGTCTGGGGCTTGGTTAAATTACACCAATTTCAGTTTCTTCGTTTTGACAAATATGCCACAGTCATGAAAGATACTAACCGTGAGGAAACTGTGTAAGGGGTTAAAAAAATAAACACAAAGAGGATATTTGGGGAATTTTATGCTGTGAAGAAACCCTTCAAAAAAGCATAAGGACATGGTTTTTGTTTTGTTTTGTTTTTAAAAGGATGTGATTCCAAGGCCACTTCTGTTTCCTCCCTTGCCCAGACACCATCCCTTAGGTCAAGAGGGTGAGGTAAGCCATATGGTTGGTCCCCACATTCTTCCTAGTTCAGAATGGTTTGAAACAGATGTTTCCACGCAACCATTTGAGGACAGAATCCGTTTCCATGCTGAGAAACTCACACCCACCCTCGTGTGTATTTGTTAATTTCTTTCAAATACATCACTTCCTTTTGTAGCCATAGTCTTCCAATCACAAACATATGACGTCCTGGCCTCAGTGGCCTCATAGAAGTGTGCACTGTTATTAGAAAGGGTTAGCCAGACCCCTAGATGAAGAAAAATGTGAATTTGACTTCCTGGCATTTTCAGTATGAGTGAATTCACATAAGCAAGT